TCTATAGGATTGGATATACCTCTCAGCTGGCTTCACATGCATAGTTCAAGACTGCCTAACCGGTGCTTATACCAGGATTTAGTTGCAGCACTGTGGTCTGTGGTTACAGCTTCATTTTCCGAGTAATCACAAGAAATTGACATTACAATAGAAAATAAAAGACTGGCACTTCCATACAATTAATAGCAAGTGAAATTCCTGGAATTGAAACATAGATTTTGAAGTCACTGGTGTAGGCATTGAATAACTTCAAGTTGGCATAAAGATGAGGTAGTTTATTTAATCAGTGCTGAACTAGAGGTTGAAATTATAATTAAGTTCGTTGTCATATAATTTGTTTATTTAAATTTCTAATGAATTCAAATAGAATACACTGGTGAAAGGATGTTTTGGAGGTGTGGTTACATTGTGTATGGAGTGGTAGGGTTGGGTGTCATATAATTTTTTCATTTTCAACTCTCATGAAATCACACAGAATTTCAAGCATACGATGTGAATCAAATTTTCACTGTGCTGTGTTAAGTCTCAATAGAGTATGAGGGAAATGGCATTTTCACTGGAATTTATTTTAGCGGAAAAATGTTCACAGTGAAAGGAAGTATTCCACATTATTACATATATACTGCAGTTTATTTTGATTCGTCCCTGAAATCAAAATCGGTACTTCCACACCCCATATGCAAATGAGGTCTGAGAGCGAATAAAGTAGTCCGTTCAAGAGTAGCGTTTTTCGAAACATAGCAGATATAAACAATATTTAGAAGTACGATACTTTACGTTTGGGTACATGAATATATTTGCCGAGTGAAATGAAATTTGAACAACAGTAATGGTACTTCTAAGCAGTAACTTATTTTGACTAAAACTAATTTGCATATCACCCATGCAATGATGTTTTTGGTATTTTCACGGTCAATATGCAAATGAACATGGTATTGGCGATTCGCTCCACTTGGATTGCCCTTAAAATCACTTTAATTTTGTGTATCTGTGTGTGTGTGTGTGTGTGTGTGATTTCTAGTGTTTTCACGTATTAATTCTTCTGTGATTTGTTTGGCTTGGCTGATTTCGCTCAAACTTAGCAGGTAAATGTAGGTCACACCTTCACCCTAGTTATCAGGAAATGTATCTCCTACAAATTGTGGAAACAACACCTCAGACATAGCTCATTTTGCTCAGCTTGAGTGTGGGCACAAAGTTACTATTGGTAAAATCTGAAAACAAATTCTGACCACCGTTTCCATGGAAACAGCCAACAACTGAATTTTTTAATACCTTCACGCCAAATGTATCACACCCTACATTTCTATGATTAAAAAGCATGGACGTAGCTCATTCTAATCCGCTTGAGTGTGGGCAACAATTTACTGAGATTTTTTTTGGCTTGGCTAATTTTGTTTATAATTGACAGGCAGGTCGTACCGTCACTAATTGGCAAAA